TTATCATGCACCAAGAACGTGACATCAGTGAACTCTTTTTGTCTCCTCATTTTGTTCAAATTTGACATCATCACTGTAGCATATGTTGGCTGATAGACACAGAAATGTCCACTAGTTGTGTTGTCCATAATGTTCTCAAGTTGTGTGATTTCATTTTCTAACTCGTCCTGTACATCATGAGCTGGTAAATTCAATCCAGACAAGCATGCTAATTCAAGTTGGGAAATGCTCATCTGTTTGGCAGCTTCCAGTAACTTGTTCACATCTCCATCTTCAACAGTTACCTTACCATTATAGATAAAGTCAATTATTTGGCCAAGCACTGAGGAATCAATTTCATTCAGTGTTAGCCTATCAGAGTTTTCTGGAACATTGCACAGTCTAGTGGCAAACACTGGGCTGCATGCTGCTAAGATGGCCTGATGGCAATGAAATTGAACATCATTACTGCATACTACTATGTCAGTTAGTGACTGTTCTAACCTGAGTTTGTTGAATTCTTGCAATGCACCCTGGGTACGAGCCAAGTGTTCCGCTCTCTTACGGGAAGCAGCCATCTCCTTCTTCTGCATGGTCACACTCTTTTAGAGGATGTAGCATTTAAGAAGACAAACTTCTTTCAACTGCACAAAAAAATAAAAAGAAACAATATTTTATTTCCTTTCCATGAAGTAAAGACTGTTAGGCAAAAGATCAGCTGACATTCAGCTGTAATAAAATGAATTCAACCACAAATCAATGTACTAAGTTTGAGCAAAATCAGTCATGTATGTTTTAATTTGACACATATTGTCTGTACTCAGTCACTGTGCATTGAGATACAAGTAACGATATTATTATGCTAATTAAATCAACACTACCTCTCATTCTTATCATACAAAATTTCATTTCAACCTAATCAGAATGAAAAACAAAACAAAACAAACCTAAAAAACTATTGAATATGAATTTAACATCTACCATTCATAAACCTCTTCATTCAGAAGGATAAAGACAACACTAATATACAGAATACCTTCTGTTTGGTAAAAACTAGTGTGGTAACACAACAATCTGAACACACATTCGCACAGCATAAACAGCTGACACAGGTAGAATACACAAAAATGATCAGAGCTTACACACCACAGCATGTGAGGTGACAAAAACTAAACTATGTCACTCACATAAATTCATAATAATAATAATCAGTACACACATGGTATGGCTTTAAAGTGACAAAAACATGCTGTCATAAAACCAATAAATTATACAATGTATAAAAGTTTGAATTGAAAACCTTACATACCGGTAATACTAGTTTGGGTTTAATGGGTTAAACAAAAAGTGCCAAATCTATAGTGCTATTATTGTTTTTACTCTTTCAAATGATATTTGATGTGCATTTATATAAACACAGTTCAATATATAAATATGTACTATTATTACCACAAAAAAATTGTGTATTTGAAAGCAATTTTTATTATTGAGAATGTCACAGCTCCCTCTGTCCTTGTATATTAATATATGACAGTGGAATGTGAGCATTTACGTGAATCTTTAGGGTTATTAGTACATGTACCAGTTCTACACTGAACTAAATATGTGCCTCAGTATGCCAACAGGTGTTAAACAATATTCTAAGTCTGAACAGAATCAATCAGCACAACTTAGATAATGTGCTACACATATAAAATGAACAGAGAAAAATCAAATCTAGGCATTTGTATACCATAATGTATCAACCATGTACCAAATTCAGAGAAAATCAGTCCATGAACTTCTGAGATACAGCGGCGGATGAAAGGACATAACACAATCGATACATGTTCCTGCAAGCCCTTGGACTGTGTCAAACTGAGCCAGAGCACTACAAGTTGCTGGCAGACTGGCTAGACTGAATTATTAACGTACACCTTGCATTCCAATAATTTACAAAGAATAGATATAGATTCTCTCACTTCAATACGCAAATGACCTTTGACCTACCACACATGATCTCATGACAAATGAAGTATACTAATTGGTTGATGATACAGACATGTAAGGTGACAAGGCAATCTGCAGAATATCATGTGCTGTTAACATTGCTACATAAATAGATTCAAGGTCAATCACTGTACACTGTTCTATTACACACTGCTTCAAATGATGCAAAAAAAAAATACTCAATTGTAACAACAGATTTTATTTTTAATAGCTAAAAATTCAAGTGAAGTGTTTTATCGCAGATGAAGTGGTTTATTACCTAAATTAAGGTCACATCCTGAACCAATTATGAATACCATTATATTCAAATGAATGATATTATATTTAAAGGTACAAATGTAGCAGCCTAGGTGTTTTATAATAAGGTCACAAAAAATGAGTTGATATAGTATCCATCTCAGTCAGATGATTGTAATTCATGCAATGATTCATTTCAATATCATTTATTGAAATTAACAGATATGTTGGATATAAAATTCAGAAACTGAATAACACAAAAGAACACATTATATACCATGGATTACTATTATTTATATACTATTACTATTATTTTGGACACACACTACATAATCAGTGTTGTATATTCTAATATATTATTTCAAAGTATATGTGAAAGAAGCAAAGCAACAGGTTGTTTATAAACATGACATCTAATATCTTACCAGAAAACACTGGGATAGTTTCAGAAAATGTTAGCATTAGAATACACATAAAAATATGAGAACCAAACACAGTAAATCTATAGAAACCACCTGCATAGATGTATTCTAGCTAAATTGCTAATAAATTACACTATCAAATGTGTTGTTGTAAATATAAGCAGTATAATATAGCAGGAATGCATGAACATTTCACCAAAGCATCCAACACACATTGGTGAATCACTGAATAGATTTTATGTTTTTTATAAACAGAGTATGCATCATATTGGATCAATCTAAAACACAACGCAGTAAAATTTTACTTACTGATAAAAAAGATTATAACTGAATATTTAATATGCATTACTCAATGCTTTATTTAGTGATGGCACATTTTAGAGGGCAGTCAGGATGTCTAGACTCGGTGAGGTCATGCAATTGTAAATTAAGGCTTTTCACTGTTCTTTGATGCCTCAATTAGAGTGAGCCATAACAAGAGATTTTACGGTATTCAGGCTCGCATGCGTAGGGTCCTAACCCAAATTCTAGAAATCCATGTTTCCCTGGAGAATGTAAAAGTACCTGGATGTTGTGTATATGTGTTCGTTGTTTATTAACTCAAATAGGTAACTTCTTCCATGCCTATTGATAATACCTCTGCCATAGCCGCATATATGAAGATGACAAATTTCAACACTCATGATTTAAATCAGTATGTTTATTAGTAAGTAAAAAAACACAAAAAAGTAGCGCCATGTAGGTGAAAACTTCCTGTCGTATTTAATGAAAAACTAGTATCACACTGGGAACTCACTTTTTAATTAAATGTTATTTTAACAATATTAGAATATGACTTATTATATCACCATGCAGGTAAAATTATGAAATATGTAGAAATAATTTCATCATATAAACCAGAGCAGAATTACAAATACTCATGATGTATCCATGCTGTATTTTCAAGAGCTTTGATCGTAAAAATACGGCCACAGGATTCTCCATACCCACAAACACCAGGACGAGGCCATAAGGGCATTATCGCAGTCACTCAGTGTGACTACATGTCTACATGTACCAGCTTTCTTGATTTCCCTACAGAACTGAAGATAGGGTAACTCGCATATCCTTTTACGATAGCTCTCTGGTTTCGTTATCACTCCGGGACGGACAAAACAACCCTACCGAAGATTAAACATGGAACCGGCTTGGAACATGGAGCTGTAGTAGTACCTCGCTACGTAACTGCACTGAACAGTAACAGTGTAGCCTTTGATTCCAAAACGACACAAATGTAGTTTAAAGCTGAAACAACAGTTAAAGATCGAACTGTTGTTGGACATGGCGTACAACTCATGTGAAACCATATATGACGAGTTCATAAATAAACACAAAAAACGAACCTGGGCCATTCTCTCACGTGAATTTCCATTTCAGGAACTTCTCTGCCTCGGTTTCAGCTTTATTTAGTTTCCTGAAAGTGCGCCCGCTAACGTCAAAACATGTTGGCTTATTAATCTGAACCAAGTGTATTAATTATCTGTTTTTTTTTGTAACGGAAATCCTGGATTCTTATGCCACCTTGCATTCTGATTTTTTTGGTTTAGTTTGGTGCAAATTATAACCGCAAATCAAGCACCTTTGACCTCATTTAATTAGATAAACATTGCTTCCATGGCAACAGGCTCTTACATAGTCGCCATATTGAATGTTTGGTGTTTTGGTTATTTCTCGGTGGCTTATCATGTGTTCCTGATATTTTGTTAAATTTAAAGGCGTGTAACCCCGTACTACTTATATGATAACTTTCAGCCGTTCACCATGTCACACGAGTAAGTAATTTCCAGCTATGTTGGCTTATATCAACACCATTCACTTGTACTATAGCTATTGCTCGGGGATTTGTAACTTGTTGCTGTAGCAGCAAGACTTACAAAACGGAGACTATCTCCAGATCTATAGAACTCACCAAATTAGGTGGCAAATGCAGGTCTCGGTCAGGCAATCGAGACAATCACTCGATGTGGAGATACTAATCAAGAGAATATCTTCTTGTTTGGAGGTAGCGTCCATTTCGCGGCAAAGTGCCTCAGCTGCTGTGTAGTTCTCACTGGAGTTGATGATTCAGGCACGTACCTCAATGCATGGACGTACTAACAGTTAGTACATCCATGCTCAGTGGAAGCAAAATGAACGATCGGTATTTTAGATTAATTATTCTGTCAACAAAATATTAAACTGTGAGCTAAAAATATTAACTCAGTGATAGAATAAACTCATGTTGTTTTGTGTTTGGTCTTGTGGCATTATACAGTGCTTTCAAAAAAGGTCTGTATTATTTATTATTAAACATCCCATTCAAATCCAAATAAGACAATTGAATTGACTATAATAATTCGTGTGATGTTTCACAATGTATGGCAAAGTGAAACAGACTCTATACTGTCAGCATTCGGAATATATATGCGTGGTCATGCGTGAAATGATCACCAACAAATCTAATTGTCAGTTGTCCATGTTGACCAGCAAACTTTTTTTTTCATCCAAAATTAACATATTTTTATACATTAGACAACCAAGCAAAATACCCTACTTCACTTCCAATGCAGCTTGACAGTTGATTGTCTTGATTTTGTGTTTCCCATAGAGTATTTTATGTAACAGTATTTAATGTGCAGTCTCGCAATTCTAACCCTGATTGTACACTGTCTATTTTTTAAACTTCCCACTGTATACATGCAGACTGGGTTGTCCCGTTCTCCCTCAGAGGCATGTATTCTTCTTTCATGGTGAAGTCACAGTGATCATTCTGATTGGTCAATAATTTATGCCTATTATAAACTGTAAGAACTTTTCTAAAAGCACTGTAATGACACAAATATATATGTGAATGTCATCTCTGTCATGGCAAGATTACTGATCAGAATAAATCACAGAGCCTCTGCCTCTAGTACAAAATGTTACACACATAATGTCGATGATGAATCTCCAGCTACAATGTAGGCCTTTAAAAACAACAACAACAACAACAACAACATTTAATGAAAGGATGTTACAGTTTGAATTTGTCACTCAGCCACAAAAATATTCGATCTGGTGAGCTTGTGTTAACATGGTTATGTTATATCATGTAAATGAACTCAGTAGTTGACATTCTTTAGTGCATTGCTACCCAGCTCGTCGATTCAACCAAATGAGCTTGGCACCCATCAGTGTGTACATTGCATGCAAAATAATGTATTTTTTTTTACTTTCTAGTACTTACAACAAACAGTGGAATGAAGCCCAGACTGGCTTATCAGACCTGTTGCAGCTAGAAATCCCAGTAGAACCACCAAAACCAGAGAAAGACCGCCTCACTGCATTCCAAAACTATGCAACATTTTACATCAAATACCTACAAATATTCCACAAATTAGAACAATCGTATGATCAGATAGTCCATCCACAGAAGAGGCGTGTACTCCGACATGTCTTGGATGGATGTATGGGTAGAGTACTCGAGCTGAAAAATGAAATGGTTTTGCTTGAATGTTCTGAGTTCCAATTCTTTGATGACATTTTGTCGGATTTGAAACTAGCACCGGTGAGTAGTTATACACCTTACATGTACATGTAGTATATAATGACTGTAAACCATTGAAATTTTATGAGCTAAACGCATTTTCATCAAAAATTATTTATGCTCTAAAGTGACAATATAGCATTTGTTTGAAGCATTTTTAGAATTTTAAGGTATTAAAAGTAATGCATAGTTTATAATGATTAACTCTAAATGTTTTGTATTAAATAGGATTGAGTCACTTATTTCTTCTATTTTTATTGACAGAATGATATTGAAATTCCCATCCCAAAGTACTTCCTTCATGAGAGGCTCAAAACACTCCAGGATCGAGAAAAACTGTTGGGTCAGATCTTGGCCAAGATGGGACCACAAGAAGAGAAGAAGGAAGAAATTACAATGTCGTTAGAGGAAGCCATCAGGATGATCCAAGTTCATGAGAGAGCAAGGCAAGGACGACTGAGGGCAAAGTTCATGCGAGAGATCCGTATCCAAGAAGAGCGTGAAAGAATGGCTGCTAATAGAGGAGCGCCAACACTTGATCCTGATGTAGCTGCTGTCAGAATTCAGAAGGTAATAGCGGTAGTCCTGACCTAGGATCTACAAGTGCATGCTCATTTTCATTGTTTTTACAGAAAACAATAGCCTGTGTGTATGCACATTCTGAATTCTGGAGTGGAGCCATCAGAGGTAACACCTGGTAGCAGGATGCTATTTATTTGTCACCTTATATCTGCACAATGTGTTTATGTTCTCATTAAATTACTACTATTCAAACTTCACACGTATAGCTTTCTTTGGTGTCCTAAAGTAAACAATGGTCATCTTCGAAAACTTTCAGATATTAAAAAAATAACTTTTTGAAATTATTTTGAGGTCTGCACTTGGTTGCTAGCATGTTAACAATATGTATTATTTGAATTCATGAGAACTGTTTTCAACTTGCACTCTGTACTGTATACTGCCCCTTCTCACCCTGATATCCTCTGTGACATGGAATAGTCTTATTGTGTTCTACATTGGAAAATTCCATTATTCAAGTAAACAGGGTCATATATGGCTGTATAGTAACCACTAAATTCTCAATTCAATGTGTAACTAATTATGGACTAATATATAGAGCAATGTTGTACATAGTGGTAGTGCTACATATACATATATTTAACTGTATATGACATTGCAGGTTTGGAAAGGGTTTGCTATTCGTAAAAAGACCAGAAGAGAGAGGGAAGAGGAGATGATGTTCATTGGAATGGTAAGTGTCAGCATTTTTAATTTGCTCATAGTACTACATGGCATATTTTAATAATGATGCTACTGAATAATGTCCCATGGCTCAAATTGCCTAGGTATTTTAATTAGTTACTTTGAACAACGATTACCAAATAGTGTCTACTGTACATCATTCACATAACACATTGCTCTCATTAATATCAGTTAACTGGTGCAAAATTGCACCTGCTTTTTATTTTTCCATATTACATATTGCACTTTCTATATTACATAATGTACCATTGCATCAAATGCGCCAGTGGATGTCATTGGTACACTGGATGCATCGGTAGGAACTGCTCCATATGTAGCAGGGATAGGACCAAAAACAAGCAAACAAATTGATACAGCATTTTTTGCTGTGTTATTCAATCAGGGCAACTGACCTTCTAAATATGAAATTGTGTGTTTTGATTACAGAATAGACTGTTATTTATTTTCACAGCTATTAACTGCATGCTTCAACTACATGTGACTATTTTTAATTTAGAAAATTTATACATTTATTTACAAACAAACACTCAAGGGGTGACAGATGATGAGAGTTTACTAAATCTTCTTTTCATACTTGTTTCTCTTACAGGTACCAGTTCCCCTTCCTTCCAGCACTAAAAACCTTCCCCAAACCCATGCTGAGAAGACAGAAGCAAATAGGAGAGTGACACAGGAAGAGCATGAGAGAGAGTACCAACAAGCACTTGATACAATTAAGAATAAAATCCGAGAAGTGGAAGGTCCTGACATGAAAGAAACAATGCAGGACCAAATCCGACAGTGGTTCATTGAATGTCGGTAAGTACAAACTTTAATTTCCTGCCAGTCATCTCAATAGTGGTAAAATTTAACTTGGTTCACAACCAAAGTCTGTTAGACCACTAAGCAAGTTATTTCTAAAGACTCTAAAGACATTGGATTAATCAATGACCTTCATTTTGAGTCAAGCTAAGAATCCTATCTGAAACAACTAAAATGATTCTATTTTCTTTTGTTACCAGGACCCAAGCATATACCTTAAATGATTGAAATTTATAAACTAAGAACTTATTGGCTTTTTATAAAACGTGTTTAGTAGATTACTTGACAAACATTGAGAATATTGAGCTTCAAAAATTACTTAGTAACTAAGTTTTGGCTAAATTCAAAGGGTGTGTCTTCTTTATAACACAAATCAGATAGATGTCTTGCTTTGTTTATGCCCAACACAGAAACATTATATTTATGCACGGTTACTAGAAGAACTGTTAGAAAACTTTATTGTTAAATATGCTAATTACACATTGACTTCACTTCAACACATGTCCAACCACTATGACGTCATCGCTTATATTGCTATCGCCGTTCGCTTTCATGTGTTTCCACTAAATTGAAGAAATAGAGCTCATTAAGCCAAAAAATCCACTTAGAAACATACCGACTTCTGTGCAAATGTTGTGTAATATTCAAGGTTTCATTGTTCTTGAAAAAATGGAAATACCGATAATTTTTGTTGAGGGTATTTTAATGTGGAACTGCGATTATTATAACTAATTTCAATTGTAACTTTAGTAAATAACGTGGTTTTTTTGTTGAGGTTAGCGACATCAGTCATTTTGTCTGCAGTTATCATGATTGTACGAGAAAATTGCTGAAAAATCAGATGGAGTTATATTTTAGTACATTTTTAAATTAGTATTTATAGTTTGCATTGTTATAATTTCTGAAAGTTAAATACTGTAGAATACTTTATTTTCGCTTGGAATTATTTTCGCTATTTTCACTGAAGGGATGATTCCGTGAAAATAAAATCCAGCGAATATACTTTTTTTCCCTATATTTCACATTAAACTCATCAAAAATCAGTGAAAATAAATTCCACACAAAACGCCCAAAAAGCCTTTTCAGCGAAAATTAATTCCAGCGAAAATAAAGTATTCCACAGTACTAAGTTGTTGTAGAACATTTTCATCGTTTCAGCAAGGCAATCGTAAGTTTGTGTCTGCTGATGTCCAACATGGCGACAACATTTTGTACCCCAAAATGCATGTCAGAACATTTCACAAGTTCATTTTGTACATTAAAATCTGTGAGTCTTTTATGAGAGAACTACAATATGATAGTTTATACAATGTTAGTTTCATTTTCTTGATTTATGGACAGACCGCTGTAAATGACACATGAAGGTGTATGGTTTCATAGTTCAGTTTTAATTTGAATATATTTTTTTTATTTCAATATTCATATTCATCCCAACAATGCTGTATAAATCAAGAAGATTTGTTAGAAAAAAAAAACATTAGAGAAAACCCCAATTGATGGAATCGTCTTCGAATGAATATGTAATTTACAAATGACGATCGCCGCAATGTCAGCTATATGCTAATTCCTTTTGTTTTAAATGTTTACTGAGACACGCATACTAATGAGAAGAAGCGAGTGAGTTTCCTAACCGTTCTTCTAGTAACTGTGATTTTATGGAAACAGAAAAAATAGCCACAGATTTCATTCATATAAATTCTGATGATTGATTCAGATTTATCTTGCGCAATAAATCAATGTGCATCCCTATAGGCAAATATTTGAAAATCTGTTATAAATCTAGACAACATCACCTCAATGTGCATCCCTATAGGCAAATATTTGAAAATCTGTTATAAATCTAGACAACATCACCTCAATGTGCATCCCTATAGGCAAATATTTGAAAATCTGTTATAAATCTAGACAACATCACCTCAATGTGCATCCCTATAGGCAAATATTTGAAAATCTGTTATAAATCTAGACAACATCACCTCTTAGATATTGATAACTTTCAATGATTTTCTTTCTGTCTTTCATTTCTGTTTCAGTTTTTATTTTTTGTAGCCTAGCCATTCCTTTGTTTTTCTTGTTTCTGTTTTTTGTGCATTGTATCCATTTTTACTGGATGTTAAGTAATCAAACACCCACCTGTAGTTGCATCACTACCTGAATGCATCTTGATACACATTGCTGTTTTTTCTTTACAGTGATGCCTCCGGTAAATTTCCTGAGTTTCCGAAGGAAGAGGAAGGTGGTTCAGCTGCAATCTTCAAAGAGAAAGATCCAGCTGAGGTAATTACATGTAAAAAAAAGACTAATCTTGAGTGTGTGAGTGAGTTTATTTCTGCAACGTTACAATTACTATAACTTATAACTTTTTCTTTTCCCCTGTCAGGTTGAAGCAGAACTTGCAGAGAAAGACGATGATAAAGGCGGTAAAAAGAAAGGAAAGAAGGGAAAGGATAAGAAGGATAAAAAGAAAAAAGACAAGAAAGATAAAAAGGGCAAAAAGGGCAAGGGTAAAAAAGGCAAAGGAGGAGATGATGAAGTGAGTATCCTTTTATGACATACAGTATAATGTTGTCGAGTTGAACTTGATTATCACAGTTGTGACACAGATGTCTTCGCTACACATGATTGTTAGTTGCATTTACTCAGTGATTTTTATTGCAGGAAGAGGAAGAAGGTTTCAAAATGCAGCCATCAAACTTTCTTCCAACAGTTAAAGAGGCTTCTGACACTTATTCCAGTAAGTAGTCATTTCAATACTTGAATTTTGTATTACACTATGTATTACTAAATAACAGGCAGAACCAAAGAATGTTGAGTTTTTCAAAGTATTGTAAGTTTGTGTATTTTAATTTTTTTATTTGTGTATCTTTGTTTTCAGATGTGTGGAAAGAACGTGATGAGTCTACTAATTTTAGTCAGAAACATGATTCAGAGCTGATCAAAGAAGAGAAGCGTATAGAGGTGGAACAAGAAGTGAGATTGCAAGTAGATGAGCTAATGAGAACAGAATTGAAGAACCTTAAACTGGTATGTAAATCCATTAACTTGTTCTTTGGAAAGATAATGCACACATTGCAATGTATAGATGCATG